AGATTAAATGAGAAAGTCCAAACACAGTGCTTGGCAAGTGTGTGAAAATAGTTTTTGATATGTGCTTATGAGCAGTTTTCTTGGGAGTGAGTGGATTCATAGCTTTCATCAGATTCTCAAAGAATCCATGATCACTCCCCCTCTAACTCTCACATGTAACAGAATTAAGAATCACTGCCCATTTTGAAGCTACTAATCTTATGTCGAGCTTTAAAGTCCACAATTGCCTTCAGAAAATATTATTTGACCTACAGTATGTCCTGATCAGTTTAATAAAATTATAACGGGAAAAAAAAAAGAATCACTGCCCAGAGTATTATAACCATAGTGGTATCAGTAGTCTAGACAAATTAAGTGTATGCCTCATAGAAGTGGTTAAAAAGGGTAAGACATATTTCAGCTTTTGATCGTTTGCTGCCATCTTACTGTTACATAAAATCTTTTCAACTTTATTCTCAAGTATATTATTGTATGTTTTTAAAACTAGATGTTTGCTCTTTAAGAAACTACAGAATAGTAAAAACTTTGGATGTCTGTAAAATGAGATGATTTATATTACAGAAGGAATTTTTCTATAGGTAGGACTTAACATTTTTCATTATGAAGGGGGAAAAAAGCTTTAGTGGGGACCCTTTGGTAATGTGCTTTACTAGTGCATCAGATGTCTGAGTTAAAATAATTTGGTTTATAAGGAAGCTTTTAGGAACATCTCTATTATAGAGTTATACCTCCACTGATTTGCCCAGGCACTTTGTAAATGTGTTTATCTATAATAACAATACAGTTGACCCTTAAACAACATGGATTTGAATTTCACGGGTCCACTTACATGTGGATTTTTTTCAGTAAATATGTACAGTGCTTAAATTTTATTTTCTCATGATTTTTCTTTTTTTTCTCTTTTTAAATATATTTTATTGATTTTTTTACAGAGAGGACGGGAGAGGGATAGAGAGTTAGAAACATTGATGAGAGAGAAACATCAATTAGCCGTCTCCTGCACACTCCCCACTGGGGATGTGTCCACAACCAAGGTACATGCCCTTGACCGGAATCGAACCTAGGACCCTTGAGTCTGCAGGCCGACCTCTATCCACTGAGCCAAACTGGCCAGGGCTCATGATTTTTCTTAATAACATTTTCTTTCCTCTAGCTTATTTTTTAATAACAATGCAGTATATAATACATATAACATACAAAATATGTGTTAATCAACTATATGTTACCGTTAAATCTTTTTCCTGTTAATAGTAGGCTAAGTAGTTAAGTTTTTTGGGAAGTCTACAGTTATACGCGGATTTTCATCTGTGTGGATGTTGGCACTACTCTGCCTGCCCCTTTCACTGGAGAAGAAGTGTTAGCCCAGATCTCAGTCTGGGAGGTACCAGAGCATAGAAGCTATAAGTTCTTTTTGGAGCCAAACTACCTGGATTTCAAATCCTACTCTATCACTTACTGTGTGACTTGGGCATGATACTTATCCTTCTTGTATCTCAGTTTCTACATCTATAATTTTTGTATAATCCTATATAATAAAGAGTTAATATGCAAATCAATCCTCACGCCCTCACAAGATGGCTGCCTATGACCAGGCCAGCAGGGAGGTTAGTGAGGGACGACCAAACGACTGAACAAGCAGGCTGCATGGGGTGACCAGGCTGGCAGGGGGGTATAATAATAAAAGCATAATATGCTAATTAGACTGGGCATCCTTCTGGACGATCTTCTGGACAAAGCCGGGGCTGTGAGGGAAGCCTGGGTCCCAGGTGCCTGCCAGCAGCCAGAGGGAAGCCGGTGCCAGCAGCCGGGGGAAGGAAGACCTACTCTTGCGTGAATTTCGTGCATTGGGCCTCTAGTAATTATGTATAAATCACAAGGTGCTATCAGAATTAAATGAGTTATTATTAAAAGTTCTTAGAACACTGCCCATTTTATTGTAAGCTCTGCAAAACTGTTAAATTAATAAAAATGTGATTTTGTTAACACAAGACTTATACCTATGAAAAGATAACTTTCAAGATAAGGTAGTATATGCTGTATATTACAAGATTGGGGTTCATAAAATTCTTCAGGATAGAGAGACTCATTGTGGGTTGTATGGGTGGTATGAGAAGATCTAAGAATTCAAGGAAGAAGAGTATAGGTCAGAACAGAAGTTGGAAGTATACGATTCAGATAGAGAATAAATAATAGACCCAAGATAGAGGGGGTACTTAATGAAAAAACAGAATTGGAGGGACTGTATACAGCCCAGGTAAGTTGAAGAGTTAAGAAATACTGGAAGCTATCTTAGGAATACAGATGTAGACACATTGTGGAGGTCCTTGGATACAAAGATAAGGCTTTGAGATTTTTATTTGTAGACCAGAAGCCCGGTGCACAAAAATCATGCACTGGGTGCATTTGGGGGGGGGGCGCCCTCAGCCTAGCCTGTGCCCTCTTGCAGTTCGGGAGCCATCAGGGTATGTCCAACTGACGGCAGTCGGACATCCTTAGTGCTTGGAGTAGAATTTTAGTGTTAGAAGGAACCTTAAAGACCTAGCCAGTGGTTGGCAAACTCATTAGTCAACAGAGCCAAGTATCAACAGTACTTCTTCAAAATAGACTTGTCCAGGCCGAAAACTGACTCCTTGAGTGTGGCCATGAAGTTTCAATAGCACTATACGTGTGCACCTGCACGTGGTCTTTTGTGGAAGAGCCACACTCAAGGGGTCGCAGTTTGCCAACCACTGTTATATAGGATTAGGGCTCCCTAACTTGTGTAAAGGAGAACCTTATGAATGATCTTGTAAAAAGTATTTAGCACAGCCATGGGCAGTGTGGCTTAGTTGGTTGGGTATCGTCCCTGCACCAAAAGATTGCCAGGGCACATGCCCAGGTTGCAGCTTGATCCCACATAGTGGCAGGCTGGAGGCAGCTGTACAGTGTCAATGTCGCTCTCATATTGATATTTCTCTTTCTCCCTCTCCCTTCCTCTCTCTGAAAATCAGTTTAAAAATCTTAAAAAAGGGTACTTAGCAAAGTAGTTGGCAGAGGGTAATCATTCCATAACTGTTAGCTAGTGTTAGCAATAGTAGAAATGGACTGTATTATTAATGACTGTAATTTCACAGAAAAGTTTTCTATATGTATTACAGTAATTTTAAATTTATACTGGATAAATTTAAATGCATGCGTTCACCAGACACTATCAGTAAACAAATACACACGACTGGAGCGAGGTTTAATGCACATTAGAACATCTGACTGCACATGTTAAAACTGCTGCAGAAAGTCACACCATGTGACAACAGAACCAATTACCACATGTGATGCGGTGTGATCACGTGCTAATCATTTGCAGAACATTGTTAACAAGCAGTGACTCTTGGATTTGAATAGGTAGACTATAGTTGTAGACATGTAATATTTATGTTGGCGAAATTACTACAGTGTTTTTTCTAACATATGGCCTATTCCATAAAATTTGTTAAAAATAACAGTGAAAACATCCAGCTGGTTGCTCAGTGCTTGAGCGTTGACCTATGATCAGGAGGTTGCAGGCTTGATCCCCAGTGTGGGGCATGTAGGAGGCAGCCAATCAATCATCTTATCATTGATGTTTCTATCTCTCTCCCTCTTTCTCTGTGAAATCAATAAAAATATATTTTCGCCAGAGGAGGGAGGGAGGGAGAGACTGAATTAACAACAACAACAAAAACCCTATTAATTTACTTACAAGCAAATCTTGGTTAAAAGCATTTTAAAATTAACAGGGTGTTAATTTTCACATGTGACATACAGACTGGAAATTTTGTCCATTAAATCCAAAGTCCATTAAATTGAGGTCGCAAAATGGAGGGTTTGCTGTATTTGTGGTCTTATCTCGCATTGACCATACAACGTGAAGTTTGCCATGGGGCAAGGAGTTATATGTTCCAGCCTTCAGTGGTTTCACTCATCTGTCAGGAAAACTCCTACTACGAGTAAAGGAGACATCATCACCTTTTCTCTGAAACTGTCTTGGACTCTTCCAGGCAGGCTTTACATTTCCTTTCTTAGGCTATCCCTTCCCCCCTTATAATATACTTGGTAAGACCCTTCATTTTAACAATGATCACATGGTATTTTAATTCTCTACATTTTTATTTCTGCAATAGACATAAGCTCCTTAAAGGCTGGAACTGTTCCCTTTCATTACTGTGGCATTAGTATCTTGGGAAAGTATTAGATATAGGTAAAATAATTGAATTATAAAATAATTGCAGCTCTGCCTGGTTTGGCTCAGTGGATGGAACGTTGGCCTACGGACTGAAGGGTCCCGGGTTCATTTCTGACCAAGGGCACATGCATGGGTTGTGGGCTCGATCCCCAGTGGGGGGCGTGCAGGAGTTAGCCTATCAATGATTCTCTCTCATCATTTGTGTTTCTCTCTCTCTCTCTCTCTCTCTCTCTCCCTCTCTTCTCCTTCTATTCTCCCAGTCAGAGGTATGTAGGAGGCAGCTTATCAATGTTTCTCTCTCATCGATGTTTCTAACTCTCTGTCTCTCATCTCTCCCTCTTCCTCTCTGAAATCAATAAAATATATTAAAAAAATAATTGCAAGAGTATTTTTGAGTAATATTGGTATTCATACATTAAATTACCAGTAAATATTTGTTTTATCTCATCATAGAAATCTCTTAGACTCTTTCTATATTGAGTAGTTAAGGTTATATCAGATTCAATGCTCTAAGAAAATTTTTTAAGGGGAAAAACTAAGAAGTATTTACTAATAAGTACTGTTTTTCTTTGTGTTTTTTATAACATGCTTATAAAACCAATTTTTTTAGATTAGAATATAAGTAATTTTCTTTCTTCAGTGAAAATGTTTACTCAGTAAACATTAATAAAAATTCAGTGGTTATTTTTTCACCCAGATAACTTGAGGTTCATATTGAGATGATTTATTCATCAATAGTTAAGTTAAAAAATGTTATTTTATATGAAACATTGTTTAATGTGTATCTCTGTTTTCTTAGGCATCGTTCTTAACAAAGAAGTTAAACATTGGTGGAAAAAGAGTAAACCTTGCTATATGGGTAAGTTAACCTTGAAAGTTAAGGCCTCTACCGTCTTGGTACTCTAATAACCGTTTGACTCAAGAAATAGTAATTTGAAAACTTGAATTTTCTTTTAACTCCAGATTAGCCAAAACTTTTTAAAATATTTTTTTTTCTAAAATCTGGTTAATAATGATATCTTGAATACAATTATATACATGAATATTGCTATCAACTTTTCAGCTGGGTAAGGATTAACTCATGTTAGAGATAGGACAGCTGCTTAGCTTTTTAAAAAAAATAATGGTTTTTTAAAATTTTTTATTTTTGAGAGGAAGGGAGAGGGAGAGAGAGAAAAAAAAACATTCAATTGGCCATCTCTTACACATGAACCTACACAGGAATCAATCATAGTCCCTTCAGTGTACAGGACTATGCTCAACCCACTGGGCCACACAGGCCAGGGCCGCTTGGCCTTTTCCCCCTGTGTCTCTGTGTTCCACTTTTCTAAGGGAGTGGCTGGTAGGAAAAGGGTGAGAGTGATGCAGTAGGGTACCTGTTGGCAGGCGGTCGTGGTGCTTCCTCTCTTTCCTTGTCTCTGCCCTCTGTGGGAAGCCTGAATTTAGGGCCAGGCCTATACCTGGCTTATAATGCCGTCTTGGTCATTCTGACCCTGAGGCAACTGAGCGGTTTTTTTAGTGAGAGTGGGAAGATTGCTGGGGAGGAAGATGGATGGGAAGGAAAATGGAAACTTTGTATGACAGTAAAACATTAAATATTGATTATAACTTGAGTTTTAAAAAGTTTTTGTAACCTGCTTTGTTTCTTGTAACAGTGTTTTGTGGTTATCTATAACTTCATGTCCCACTTTTTGTGGTCATGAACTTTTAGTCAAAAATTTACTGTAATTGCAATAGCAGGTGTATTTTTTTTTCTTCTGATATAATAAGCATTTGCTTCTTTATTTAGGATACAGCAGGTCAAGAGAGATTCCATGCATTGGGTCCAATTTACTACAGAGATTCAAATGGAGCTATTTTAGTTTATGATATAACAGATGAAGATTCTTTTCAGAAGGTATTTTATTTACTTACTAGAGGTCCAGGGAATGAATTTGTGGAAGGGTGGGGTTTAGCCGGCCCACCCCCAATCGGGTCAGATCGGAGCTGGGCCTGTCAGGAGGAGGAGATGGCGGGAGGTTGGCTGGCTGACCCACCCCCGATGGGGCCCGATCAGGGCTGGGTCGGCTGGGGAAAAGGCCATGGGCAATTGACTGGCAGGCCCTGCCC